TTTAAACTAAACGCGTAACAGATGCCTGATTCTGGCCGTCAAAATCAAGCATGAACGCGCCCTAATATAACTTGGTTTACTGGGTACCGTTTCACGAAACATCACCAAGTACAACTTCAGAGACGTCCCAGTGAAAAGGCGTTTACCACCTGTTTCAATGGGATGTCGGTAAACTTGTACTTACGACGGCTTGGTGAAAGGATGCCCAGCTAAAGGACAAGGCGAGAGAAAGACGTTAAACCTGTTAAATAAAAATTACCTTTGGTACCCATGGCGACCTCGAGCAATGGCGGAATATCTCTCTCCGAGAACGCGTTGGCCTGATCAACAAACGCCTCCTGTATCGCGTCGACGTCGCTGATCACGACGAGGTCAACAAACGGGCCGATACGAAGCCGGAAAAGACCTCCAAGATCGTTGGTCCATTTGCGAAGGATGTCTCTCATGTCGGTTCGGAAGCTGAACATGTTTCCGAAGAACGGCAGGCCAGGTGGGTATGGTAAGGGAGGGGCTAACGTCTTAGACTTGCTGCTGTAGGACCATTGTGATAGAAGAATCCAGCGGACGAAGAGAAGAACTGTCGCAAAAATGAGGACTTCCCGACCGTAAATCGCATAGTCTGCGAAGAAATCGAAACTGGATTTCTTAAAAGTTTCCATGACTTTATTTCGAAAAAGGCAAGTCAGTCTTTGTAGCCTCGTTGTTTAAGAACTTTTTAACAGAGTGAGCACTGAGGTTTAGGAGATATCCGTTTCAAAATACAATTTTTGCTGCATCATGCTTGTTCGAATAACATGACTTTGTACCCACTATGCATTGTAGGCGGCGTTTTGTTTGCAGGTCATGTACATGTATGTACATATTTATTCAGTAGAAAACCATGAGAACTAGATTGAACTTCGATTGCGTGCGGTCGAAAATGATGCCTCCGCCGTAGAACGATTTCACAAACCAACACAGAAACAATTTTCAAATTCAAGTTTAATTGTTCTCAATTAACAGGTTATCAGAATATGGTGATTACATTTTTCATATACATGTATGACCCTAATCTAATCAGTTCATTGGCTCTGCAAGATTATAATATGTCTCGAGTTAGATAGTAATCCATCCGTCAGTATTGACCTCCGGACCCCAAAATCTAATCAGTTCATTGGCTCTGCAAGATACATACATGATCCAAGTTTGGCGGTAATCCATCAACCGGTTCTTGAGATAACGCGATCACAAGCTATTTTTGCATACATAAAGAGCCTTGTGACCTTTTAACTTTGACCTCATGACCCCAAAATCTAATCAATTCATCAGCTCTGCAAGATACATACATGACCCAAGTTTGGCGGTAATACGTCAATCGGTTCTTGAGATAACGCGATCACGAGCTGTTTTGCATACATAATGAGCCCTGTGACATGTGACCTTTGACCTCATGACCCCAAAATCTAATCAATTCATCAGCTCTGCAAGATACATACATGACCCAAGTTTGGTGGTAATCCATCAATTGGTTCTTGGAAAAACGCGATCACGAGCTATTTTCGCCCTTTGACCTCGTGACCCCAAAATCTAATCAGTTCATTGGCTCTGCAAGATACATACATAATTTTAAGTTTGGAGGTAATCCATCGATCGGTTCTTGAGATAATGCGATCACGAGAACTGGACGTACGGACGGACGGACGGACGGACAAGGAGAAAACATAATGCCTCCGGCTACTTTGTAGCGGAGGCATAACAAAATCAAACAAGCAATGTAAAAGTGTGTGAATATTATAGTCTTTATCAAGCATAACAAAAATAGAAAAAAATATAATTGTGATTAATCCGTTAGTTATGCGAGGGTGTATCATTAAAAAGTGTCCCTTTGATCAAGTTTTTGCGACTGGGTCCTGTTTCATGAAACTTAATATCAAAAACAAGTTACGATAACTGTTATAACCTACTGAAATCGTGGCATCTGATTGGCTGAGAGCAAATTTGTCATAGAAATTTAACATTTAGTATTGATAAAAAGTTTTATGAAACAGGGCCTTGTGTCTCCCCTCTCTCTCTCTCTCTCTCTCTCTCTCTTTTTCTGCGATTACAGTATTACCATAAACCCGGTCACTGAATTCAATTACTATTCTGCAAAGTATAGTGCACATTCTCCACTCCTGCGGAGTATTCCAGCTAGTTGCCTTTTTTAACGGGCGGGCACATTCTTATTCAACTACAAGAACATTCGCATCCTACCGGTAACGCACCCGAGTGGAGAGGAGCAATGTAGATAAAATGCCTTGCTCAAGGACATAACCGTGTACACATGTATCTTTGTCAGGAAATGGATATTCGTGCCAATGGAAGCAGGTATGATGGTCTGTGTTGTTTCCGTCATACATGTTTTGATATAATAAAGGAAGGTTGGCTCATTCAACTTGCATTTACTCAACATTACCACGACCTCTGTTCTTTAAAGCTTATCTGCCATAGTTTACAGGAGGGATTAGACCGCCCTGCAATGTCACTGGACAGGTGGTTATCTCATCAACTCAGCTCTCAGTTAACATAAGAAAAAGAGGATCATGGGGGACCAATGGTCACCGATTAGGCATTGTTTGTTATATAGAGGGCGCAAGTAGATACAAGTAGTGCAGTGGGCCTTTAAATAGTACAACTCTTACTCAATCACTGGCGTTTTCGATCTAAAACCAGGCTACTAAGAACATTCCTTATCGTAACATAGCTTTGCTATCCCAGCTTCAAATTGTATTTATTTTTGTTATAATCATTAAGAGAAAAATACTTTTTCTTAATTAAAACAAAATAATATAGACCTATCTTCATACATCTCCATCATCACCATTATCACAGTTTGATTACCACGGATTTCTCTATGTGACTAAGGTAGGAATAGAGAGTCTTGCAAACATTTCTAGAAACAACTTGTCGAAGGGTGTATAATATATAGGTCTATTCATTCAAAAGCGTGATCTACCACCCTCGGTTGTATTTTGAACTCTTTAATCTCGTTTGTTTCCGAATGATGTTAGCATTGATATTATCATTCATTTCAAAGCTAATAATACTGAACACCCCAAGCTAATATCAAAGTGCATATTTGTCTTGAATGAATACATAAGCAAAGGGTGTATCTCACTAAGCGGCGAATTCTTGCGAACGTAGCGAATTTGGGTTTCGCCAGGGTTCGTAAACAGTTTTCAGTTCGCCAAACAGTCGTAAGCGTTTGCAAAACAGTCGTAAGCTAGACAGTGTCGCTGAAATTCTTTTTGATTCCTCAATACAAGCGACTATGTTACCATACATATATATCGCACCCGGGGGCAACGTGTCTGACACGGCCGTTTGTAGCAACTACTCCGAAGATCAAGATACATTAATCTTGATCTAAGGAGACACGAACGAACGAACGACCCATATAGTTCCTATATAAAATTATCCCACTGAGTACCAGGAGTTAGCAAAAGGACCTAAACATTCACAAATAGTGGCAAAGGATTGGCTCATAGTCGCCAACTGCCTTTCGCAAACATTCGCTGAAATGTCGCTAATTGTCGCTAAAAGTCGCTAAATGTAAAATCCTAAATCACAACGTTCGCAAGCATTCGCTGCTCAGTGAAATAGCCCCTTTACATTTTCTCTTTTCAAAAGTGTTTTTCTTTCTCGCCTGTCGTAATCCAGTTCTATGTGAACACACAATCAGATCAATTCAAATATATGTTTATATGTCAGTGACACCATGCAAGACAAACAACTAAACACGAGACAACCTCATCAATGCAGTGCATGAACCTTTATAATCTTATATTATGCAAGAACACAAAGATGTACACAACAACAAACGAGATCTTAAAAAAAACGTATTTCATCTCAAATACAGAAAAAGAAGGGTGAGAGTGGACAAACGTTAAGTTCATCAAGATAAATTGTAGATATCAATAATATTTGGCAAGGATTATTTAATTTGCGGAATCCCTTAAACCGACCTGAAGCCGATCGCTATTAAACCGACAATTGTTTTTTCCATTCCGGGGCTAATTTTATTTTTTCAGATCGATTTCATCGGTCTGTTGCCAGTGTCAAAGGTGTGATTGAGGTATTCATAAGTAGTTGAACACTGCAAGATTCAAAGATGAGGATATGATGAAAATGTTGATACGATTCTCCTGCATGACCCCTGGAAGTGATAATACCCCGTCTCTGTATAACAGCCCTGCTTAACAATGACCCCAGGTACATATAGAACAACCTTGTATAAGCATTATGCAATGTTTTCATATGTTTGTGCGATATGACAGTGATATACGAGGTAGCTATCATACATCGTACTAGGCCATTTTCGTCATTTTTACCCAATTTAATGCATACGTCTTCGTGAATTGCCGCGTACAAATTATGTCATTATGTCACGAATAATTGTATTCCAATAGTCAGAATTCAAATAAGATATATTATTAGTGTTGCCATAGGTAGGGAAAGTCATTATGTTTTGTAGTACCTAGTAAAACCTTATGTATGCAATCGGTATTCTTACAATTGAGATAAAATTATTCGTGTAATTCGTGAATGGAAAAACTCGTGTCGAGGCACTTCACAGACACCTATCCATTAAATTCGGATACATTATGAAAACGGCCTATTCTTTGAGCAACTCGATTTGCATTATCTTATACATCGTAACAATGCTTATTTACAAGAAACACAGTCGCACCTACTTTCAAAGAAAAAAAATCAACGTTGGGGCAATTCCAATACCGTATTGTAAATCCAATAAAACTCATTTTCGGATTACCTGATAAGTCATTGTAAAGTTTGCACATTTCAAAAAGTAATTGATAGGGCTATAGAAGGTGCCTTAGTTTGATTTCTGTTATTGTTAATGTCTTTGCCATTGTGTTTTATTTGATGATATTTACATTAGTTATATTTGTTATATTATTTAAGACTCAAGAAATGTTAAGGCTTCGATTACTAGAAAGAAAAAATGCATAACAAACTTTAGACAAAAACCTAGTTAATAGCCGATTTACTACCTGAAAGCTGTAGGGGACCTAAATGCAATAGTGATGGGCGTAATGCCACGCACCTTAACATTTCGGAGGTTAAATGAACAGGATTTTGATATAGTGGTGGAATATTTTTCGTCCTGAAGAAAAAAATGAACACGTGTATGGTGTATACTAACCTAATTATTGTTAATTTATTGACATATGAAATGGTGGATTGTTATTTCTCATAAAAGGAGGCAAACACTCCACACTACTCCACAAGTCATACTTCAGTCTCTGCTCAACTCCAAAACTGACGTCATAATAATTATATCGAAGTTGTCACCGAGGAGAAAAGTGAAAGAGAAGATGCGCGGAGTAATCTGTTATCAGATAGATTCCAATGTCTCTGCTGCGGTCGGGATTGATTGCCGTTATGCCCAATCATTTTGCGTCAGCATTTAAATGCATATACAAAGTTGCGTTATATCCTTTGTACTTTTTCCACAGTTTCAACAATGTATATAAACTGAGTGTGTGCATGTTGAAGACGTTGTTCTTTCAGCCTATGCCATAATCGTTGACCTGTAATCGTCTTCGTCAATTGTGTGACCGCAACAACTTGTGCGACTGTGCAGACCCAAGACTCGTATGAACGAAGTGCGGAATGTCCGATTAAAGAATGCATATATGAAGGGATTTACGACGCTGTTGACGTAACCGAGCCACAGGAAAGTATCCATCATTGAAACAGGCAGGTGGCACTTGCGACAGTACGCTTCCACCACAAACGTCACACTAAAGGGTATCCAGCAAATGATAAAAGCGCCGAGCACAGCGGCGACGGTTTTAAAGGCTTTCACTTCGCGTGATTGACGGTGCGGGTAAACTTCACGCGACGCGATTCCAAACTCTATCGACATTCTTGACGCTTTACGCAGTTGGTGGTTTGATGGAGCGTTCGGCGGCGCGTTGTTGTTGCCGTTCTCAACGGAATCGTTCCTTCTCATTTGAGCCCGCGACGGGTGCGACGTTTGGAGCTGGTCGTGCGTTGCGTTGATTTGACGCGCTTGTTTGTAGGCAACGCGGAAAATACGCGCGTAAAGAATGATCACGACCGTGAGAGGGATGAAGAAAGACGATGACGCAGCGTACATTCGGAACGTCCTGTCGAGTGCGTACGGACAGATCTCAAAACCAGGCATCAACTCGGCCGTCTGTCCAATAAAATGTTTCCATATGAGTTGCGTCGTCGCCAGAAACATGGAGAACAACCACACCACGCAAATGATTCCCAAAGCTCTGGCGCGCGTCATTGCGACGTGATATTTTAGTGGCGACGTTATTGCGATGTACCTGTCAACGCTGACCGCACAGAGATTAAGCGTTGACGCAGTGCAGCAGAGAATGTCAAGCGAGGACCAGATAGAACAGAAGATCTGACCAAAGAGCCAACGTCCGTTTAAACTCTGGGTGACCACGGCGAAAGGCATGATGCAGATACTGACGAATAGGTCGGCGCAGGCGAGGCTGACGATGAAGTGATTGGTGACGGTGTGGAGAACACGCGTTTTGTAGACGGCGACGACGACGAGGGCATTGCCGAAGGCACCGCACAGAGCGATCAGAGACAGGACGATGATGACGACGATGTCAGGTCCCTGGAAAGGGTCACTAGTGGCCGTGACCTGAGTAGGTGTTGCCATAGTTCCTAGCTGGTCGGACATGGTTCTTGATCGTCTCCAATAGATCGGTCAGTGATGATTTACTTCCTTCCTGTGTGGAGATAAAAAGGAGTTTCGTTACTCTTCTTTGAAGCTTTGAAGACAAAAAGGAAACACAATAACGTTTGCGTATGCTCGTTGCACACGAGGCGTAATTTCCACTGGCGAGTGGATGGGTGGTTCACAGGGTCCCTATTCTCCTTCTATTTTTTTTAGACCCGGTCACTAGATGCGTGCCGTATGCCCTTCCCTTCCTTTACGAATTTGAGATATAATTATATCAAATAAATCTAGAGTACATGTGCCCCCTGTCAAATGCCATCGCAATGTGACCAGTTTCATATGTGGAGTTATGGGGAGTGAACGTTTCGTTAACTTTTCATCAAGAACATGTTCAATTCCATCTCGTCGACGTCGCAACAATCTAAACTTTGAACTTTGAGGGTCCAATATTAACGATCCGATGCGATTTTATTTCAGATGGGAACAGATTGTAATCAAAATAATTATCATATGACCACGGTTCAAGAAAAAGAGAAGAATGGGCTTTCCCATGATGTCAACATTCCTCAGGGATGGATATAAATTTAGGATTGACCTGACCTAGTTCCTTTGCAAAAAAAATCCAAGACCGTGGTAGTGGAGCGAAATGTGAAGACGTTTCTTAGACGCATATTGCCCGTTGTACACGAGGCGTCATTCAATGCGTTAATACTTGCGCTACTCAAATCTGTGAAAGCAACCAAGGCGACATTTTGATTGCGTTGCTCGTGATGGGTGATGGGTATAATGCGAGAATAATGTTTTTACCCAAGGAATCTTCATCAGCAGTCAATGCTGCTTGGATAGCCTTGATCGAGGCGTCATTTCGAATGCGTTATTAGCCTCCGCTAATAATGGTGATTCAAGGTAGTGTAAGCACTATTCACTTTGCATTCATCCTTTGTACGATATCATTTTTAAAAGGCAACTTAAAACAGTCCCACTTGATAATGTTGTCTTGCGTCAGTAAAATTACTCTTCGTTTGTAACGGGTCTTAGGCGATACATCACTGATTCAACAGAAGGAGTGCACTGTTCAATATGCACACTCCTCATTATTATCATTTGAATTAAAATGAGCAATTGTCAAAAGTTTACATATCTTATTCATATTTGATGTTTCAAGAATATTATTTAATGAAATATCCAAATATTTCCCGTTTCCTTACGAATTATAATCGCATCACATGAAGGAAAGATTTCGTTTACATAAATTCAAAATAATATGCACTTTGTCTCACATCCTTGGCAGAAAATCAAGGTAGAATGTATTAATACATTTAGAACCTCAATAATTCCCATCAAACGAGGGATTGGCAGCTGCACCTGGCCTTCCTACCGATAAATCGAGCCAAATTGGCTCCGAAAATAACCCCAACTTGCACCCCTCAAAGCAAAGGGCGTCACATTTTATTACCTCGGGTCGTAACTTATTAGGACTTTACGGTCAAGTTCATGGAAACAATAGTAACAAAAAGTCGTTCCTTTCTCTCTCTCAGATCTATGATTTAAGTGGTTCAATTAACTGGTGACCAAGAGCATAATTTGCTACAGCGGTCAATTAATTAAATACCCTGCGCAAGAGGTCACGCAAACGTTTATTGATCAAATAGGAATTCAATTGATAATTATGTTACGACAGCTTCGGAAAATATGCCTGAGCTTGAAAATTGGATTTACAAACTGTAGCAACAGGCAGGTGTTTATACAACATTTTATATACAGTTGAACAATAAATTTCTTTCCAAATCCCGATGTGGTTGGATGATTTTTATGCGAAATTAATTCCCTTGAATTCAGTAAACTAACCAAAGAAGGGTATGTACTTTTACAAAATCTTGTTATGAATAAGACTGTTAAAAGTGAGAATAAAACGACATATCAGCAAAAGTATAACTCAACTTTATATAATACTCAGTCCTTGTAAAGCTAAACGAATAAAGCGCTGCCAAACGGTAGAAAAGCTCAATGCAAATCCTTTCTCTTCATATGGAAATTAATATTTAAGAGCAATAATTACTAAGCTACTCACAAACTGTTTATTGATATTTACCTGCATCAATTTGTGGCACTGTACGTGGTCTATGGTAATGTTCAGTAAGTTTCTATAATTTGTATTCATAATTTCTATGGGTCCAGTATTTCAAAGTAGATTTTACATTAAAAACCGTTTAATAAGCCTACTAAAAAATCAACCATTTACAATTCGTAGCATACGTGTACTATTTTTTCAGAGGGGGGGGGGGGGGGCTGATTAATTTCACCTGATTATCAACCAAATTTCTTTTTTATGCGAGCGCGCAAAGCGAGTGAGCGAATAAAAAAGTTTAACACCGTGTCATTGTATAACAAAATGTAAGTTATGATCAAAATACAAAACGGTTAGCCGTGAGATGACGATTACCCCAATATTGGTAATTTCACATTTCAAAAGAGGAGGGGGGGGGGGGTACGTCTAGGTTCAGAACAATTTCTATAAAAAAAAAAAAAAAATCTTCAAAATGTAATTGCATCATTGGTACTCGACATAAACTAAAGGCTCAAATTCATAAAATCGAATAAGGAAAGCAAAACGTGACCGGGCTATAGCAGGGGTGTTCGAGTGTATTATTAGATTTCGAACGAAATTCTTCAATACCAATACGGTAAGAACTTGTACGAGGGAGGTGTAATTGCAGCTTGTACCTCCCTGCACGTAACTTTGAATTTTGAATCTCTACAGTTACGAAGGCGTCGCTGGACATGATAGTAGAAAGGTTTGCGGTTGCACCCCCCCCCCCGATTTATTATTTGTTGTTGGTCGGCAAATTAAGATACTGAAGATTTTTATGAAATGTGTATTCTAAAAAGAAATCATCAAAACTTATGGGCATTTTTTTAATTATCTGACGCACCCTTTAAAGCTTATCTGCCATAGTTTACAGGAGGGATTAGAGCGCCCTGCAAGGTCACTGGACAGGTGGCTATCTTATCAACTCAGCTCTCAGTTAACATAAGAAAAAGAGGATTATGGGGGACCAATGGTCACCGATTAGGCATTGTTTGTTATATAGAGGGCGCAAGTAGCTACAAGTTGTGCAGTGGGCCTTTAACAAAACAAAAAAAATGGTACAGGAAAGCCTTCGTACAGGCACAGGTTAATCTAAAATTCCAGGGGGTATTTCACAAAGATCCCAAGTTGAACTTATTTCACAGTTGGACTTAAAAAATATGGAAAGCCGTTAGCATCTATGAAAATAGTTTGTAAAAGTTGTTTTAAAATTCATAAAATGTTAATTCAAATCATTCATATTTTCTATGATCAAGGAGATTTCATGTTCTTGATGTGGAATGTATAACAAGTCTAAAATACTTGACTTTTCGCTTTTGAATATATTTAATTTCAAGGCTACAAATGGCTCTCCATAATATGTAAGTCCAACTTTAAGAGTTAAGTTCAACTTGGGATCTTTCACACCCCAGCTTCGGATCACACACCTGTTAAACTACTTGGCCGCTATAGTCAAAGAGAAGATTATTGAAAGAAAGAGGTTTGGGGTAAACATACGTAACACATGGGGAGAGGGTATGCTCCTTCATTGCTAGATATGCCACTAACTTTCCAAAAATCCACATGAAGAAGATCTATAAATCTATTTTCCACGAAACTAACAACTCTTAACTAGTAAACAACTGTCATGTAGGACTTTAAGATGGGATAAACACAGAAAGAAACAAAAACTGTACTTGATTCTTCAAGATGGATATATAACTGGTACGGAGAAATTTGTTAAAGTGACATCTAAAGTGACTGCTGAGAACGAGGAAGAGAGGGAGAGAGAGAGAGAGAGAGAGAGAGGAGACGGTGGGGTTAAGAAGGGGGAAAATTAGGCATGAAGTTTATTCCTAAACCTTCCCCTCTTATTCGCTCTCTTAGCTCACTCGCATTCATCCCACTTGCAATACGAATGCCGCCCCTCCCCCGTGAAAACCCACGCTACGCCTCCAAACCTCATCGGTGATAATGAAGCTATTCCCGCCCGGGACGGGTCGGTGTTCTTACCTCCCCCAGCAGACCCCCTGCGGATAAACCCTACCCCCCTTCCATGGTTAGTCTGCAAGCACAGACTCTAATTTGACACTTTACCAGAACTCCTGAAGCCTTGAGCAGAGCCTAGCTTTGTCAGTCTCTTGCTGTGTCATGAGCAGCTACAGTACATAGCCTATGACGTGCAGTAGACCGTGAATTCAGCATAGTCTCTGAGTTCAGACACTCTTCTACGCACTTCAACGGACAAGGGTTTGTGCGTGCAAACTATTTCCTGATATTAGGAACGAAAACATGAAAACATGAAGAGCAAACTGTAACACGATACCGCCCGAAACATGATCCGCAAACATTCTTGTTTCCACATTGGTCTTACGGGTAACGAAAGAACGATAGAAAGCAACGGGGCTACGGAGGATGAACAAGTGGGGTGACTAGGGGTCGGGGCAACACAGAAATGGAATATTAAGTGATTTTTCTTTTAAATCTCATCTTTTGGTCACAATTGTTTGCCATTTTCTTTCTGAAACGTCTAATGTTTGTTTCTAAAATTATTGATCTTTGACTCCAAACACCCGTCGTCAACGAAACCATCATAAAGCTATGGTCACAAATCAGAGCAGCGACCGACCGATCAGTAGCCTGCTCGGTCGCTGCTGGAATTAGGCATCGCCCAGCGATTAGGACGGTGCCCGGGCGGCGACTGCCCAGGCACCGGGCGTATTTAGGGTGGCGAGTGAAAAGTGAGCAGGCGCCGCCCAAATTTTAACTCCGCGCTAAAACTTCAGCGGCGACCGGGCGATGCGCTAAAAACGAGCGGTGCCTGGGCGGCCGCCGCTCGGTGGCCGGGCAGCCGCCGGGCAGAATTGGTTAAAAACTCGCCGCTCGGCCGCCGAGCAGGCAACTTTTGGCTAATGTGACCATAGCATAAGGCGTTGTAAACAATATGTATGGCCATGGACCTACTAAGTCCATGGT